CGGCTTTCCAAGCGTTCATTTTTAAGAGGGAAGAAGAAAAAAGGGTTTGGGGAGCAAAAAGCAGGGTTTGGAGAGTAAAAAGAGCAGGGTTTGGAGAGTAAAAAGAGCAGGGTTTGGAGGCATAAAAGATCAGGGTTTGAGGAGCCCGGGCCCAGCTGGGGACAGGGAGAGCAGCAGGAGCTGGAGCAGAGCTGGGCAGATGCTCTCACACAGCCCGGGGTGGCTTTGTTGCCTCAGCCCGGGGGGTTCAGCGGCGTTTGGGGGGTCCTGGATGCTCAGTCTGGGTTTAGTGCAGCTCCCAAGCCCAGCTCCCAGCTCTGCACTGAGCCGTTCCGTTCCCTAAGCCCAACTCACATGCTCCAGGTAGCACTTTCCGCCATGGAAATTCCCAGTTTTCCCCCCCAGGGCCACATTCCCGGTGTCCCCAAGCCCCGAATGGCCGGGTGGGACAGGGGCACAGCGCCTGGCAGCGCTCGAGGGGAAGAGGAAGGCTGAGGCTGAGCCCCGAGCCGGGCTCCTGGCAGCTGCTCCCGAGCATCTCCCAACAAACACCCAAATGTGTGGGAGCATCTGCACGGCGAGGATGAATAATAATCCAGGAGGGAAAAGGCGGGGGCGAGAGCTCGCGGGGAAGAAGGAAGCGCTGGCATTCCAGAGCGGGGGGGGGAGAAGAACAGGATCGGCAGGGAGCGGAGCAGCACCGCGGGGCCGCGAGGAAACCGCGGCTCCTGCCAGGGGAACCTGCTCGGGAAGGCGCAGGGAAAGCTGCTGCCGCTGCAGCGGGCAGGGGGGAACGCTTCAAAGGCTGGGGGAGATAAGATTGAGGGAGATAAGACCGAATTCCGGGGGGAAGGAGGCAGGGGAGAGCGGCGCTCCCACGTGCGGGGTAGGCATGACTGCGCTGATGAGATGCCATTCATTTTTTTCCCCCCTCTCTCTGCACAAGCCCGAGTGGGTGAATCCACGTGTTCTCCCCCATCCCGGGGTTCAGCCCGTGCTGTTTGTCGGGATCTGCCCCCCAGGACCCCCACGCTGCAAGGCGCTGCTCTGGGTGATGCCACCGTGGCCATTCCGGGATTCCCTGATCCGGGGGGAGCTGGAAGGGCCTGGAAGGGTCACAGACCTGCTCGGGGAGGGGACACGGGGCTCGTGCTGCTGTCACCGCGGTGCTGCCCACAAAAGACCCTTGAAAGGCTGGTTTGCTGCAGGCACAGAGCGACAGGGACACCTCTGGCTTCTGTGGCTCTCTGTGCTTGCTAATTGATCGGGGTAATCACCTTCAGGGGCTCTGGGGACAGCCGGGCTGTGCCATCACGGGGGACACCGGGACCCCACCCGCAGGTCCAGTCACCCCTCTCACTTTTAGGTCGCAGGCTGGACTCGATCTCAAAGGTTTTTTTTCTTTTAATTCTGTGTTTTTGTGACCTCTGGCCGTGTCACACCCCCAGGCCCGCAGTGCTCTCCAGCTGTGCACCCACAGCTGCCCACGGGACACCCCCACCTTCACTCCCTGCACTCTCGGTGTCATTTACATTTATTTTTCACGTTCACAAGACGCCTGCTCTGACCCAGCCAAACTGCCAGCCCCCTTAAACACCCAGCCCCGATATATCCACGCAGCTCTCGTGTGTCAGTGTCCACAGTGACGGGGTTTGGTGGCTCAGCAAACGCCTCTGGCTCCCTGCAGGGCCTCAGCATCCCTGCGTGGCACCCAGGGAAGGCGCTGAAAAAGGAAAGGGGACGGCTCCGACCCCTCTTGGGGTCCTGTGCCCTCTCAGCTCTGCTGGCTCCTCTTTTTGCCGTCGTTGCCCGTGAATTCCAACTCCCCCACGGCTTTCCAAGCGTTCATTTTTAAGAGGGAAGAAGAAAAAACGTGCCCAGCCCTCTCGGGCGTGCGTGGGAGGGCTGGGGTTGATGGAAACGCCTCCTGCCAAGAGGCTGGAAAGTCCCAGCGCTGCCTCCGCACTCCTCCATCTCCCACAGGCACCCAAAAATCCGCGGGCGCCTCTGCCCGAGGGGCAGCGAGCAGCTCCGACCTCTTTAGGGGCTCGAACCCCCCCACCCTGCCCTGGGTGCGTGTAAACCCCCCGGGTGGAAAATAAATGTACCGGGACGGGCTGTGGGTGCGTGTAAACTCCCCGGGTGGAAAATAAATGTACCGGGACGTGTCGCAGCCCTGTGGGCTGGGCTGAGCGCCGAGCGCTGCCCGGGGACGCTGCGGCTGCAGGGGGCACCTGTGCCATTGTCACAGCGCCTTCCACCCCCGCAGGCACCGGCACGGGCTGTGCGGGGACAATTCTGGGGACAATGGTGGGGACAATTGTGGGGATAATGGTGGGGACAATGGTGGGGACAACTGTGGGGACAATGGTGGGGATAATTGTGCGGATAATTGTGGGGATAATGGTGGGGAGAACTGTGGGGACAATGGTGGGGACAACTGTGGGGACAGTTCTGGGGACAATGATGGGGATAATGGTGGGGACAATTCTGAGAACAATGGTGGGGGCAATGGTGGAGAAATGGTGGTGGAGAGTTGTGGGGATAATGGTGGGACAATCGTGGGGATAATTGTGGCGACCATTGTGGGGACAATTCTGGGGGCAATTATCGCGTCCCCTGCAGCGATCCCTCCCCTCCTCCTCTTCCCGAAGCTTGTGCCGTATCAGCCGCGTCCCGGCAGCCGCTCTGGCCTTTCTCGGTTCTCTTAATCTCCCAAAAATGGATTTGGGGATTAGGCGGGCGGTCTGTCCTCCCCCTGCCCTTCATCCATCCCGCTCCGCGGGCACGGGGAGAGGGAAACAAATAAAAGGAAGGATGAGCGCGGGTGGGGCTGGGAGCAGCCGGAGCCGGGAGTGGGAAAAGGGGAGTGGGAAAAGAGGGGTGGGAAGACAGGAGTGGGAAAACAGGAGTGGGAAAAGAGAGGAGTGGGGAAAGAGAGGAGAGGGGAAAGAGAGGAGTGGGGAAAGAGAGGAGTGAGAAAACTGGAATGGGAAACGAGATGAGTGGGAAAAGAGGAGTGGAAAATGAGGAGTAGGAAGAGATGAGTGGGAAAAGAGGAATGGGGAAAGAGAGGAATGGCAAAAGAGAGGAGTGGGAAAAGAAGGGTGGGAAAACAGAGGCCTGACTCTGGGATTGAGTTTAGGGCAGTGAGGGCCCTGGCACAGCCTTCCTGCACCCTCTCCACCACCCAACCCTCTCCCAGCCCAGTTTAACCCCCAGATTCCCGCTTGGACCACCGGCCTGGGGAGCTCTGGAGAGGGCTGGAGCACCCGGTGGGAGCTCTGAGCTGTTCCAAGCACAGCACGGAGCAGAAACCTTCCCTCCCTCCTGCTGCAGCGCAAACAGGACCCAGCTCATTTCATTTACGTGCCTTCCTCCTTCTCACCGCTAATTACCGAGATGGATCTGCATCCCCATTAGAGCCGAGCGTCGAGGAGGCCACCAGGAGCCGGGGCTTTGTTTTAATTTATATTTTCCCCTCACAACAAAGCGGATAAGCAGCACCTCTGATGGAGCACTCAGCGCTCGCAGGGCCTCTCGTCCCCTCGAGTGCCGCGCAGCCATTAACGCTAATTAAGCCTCGCGGAGCCCCTTTCCAGGCGGGTTAAGAGGAGTGCTGGGAAGTGGAGAGGGATCCGGGAGTGCCAGGGATGCGGGAGAGGCTGTGGAGCCGGGATCTGTCCAGGAACGAGCAGGAGATGCGGGCGCCTGTTTGGATTACGCCCAAAAATCGCCACAAATCCCTTTTCCTCCTCCGGGCGTTTTTAGAGAACTTTCCTGGCTTTATCCAGGATGGCTAAAAATCCACTGAAATTAATTAAATATTTCATAAAAGCCATTTAAATTAATAAGAAATTGAAGCCATTTCAAGCCATTTCCTGGCTTTATCCAGGAGGGTCCCAAGCACAGCCGGAGCCTGGCCAGTGCCCGACCACCCTCTGGGGAAAGGAGCCTTTCCCTGATGCCCAGCTGGACGTGTGGGAATGGGGAATGTGGGAATGGGGAATGTGGGAATGGGGAATGTGGGAATGGGGAATGTGGGAATGGGATGTGCCTCCCTGGCATGCTGTCCTGTCCATGTGTTTGAGGGTTCCAGGACGAGGGAAGAGATGAATCTGACTCCATATTTCTTAGAAGGCTGATTTATTATATTATGATATTATATTCTATTTTAAAAACGCTATATTAAACTATAGGGGGAAAGGAGTGAATAATAAAAACCCGTGACAGACTCAGAGAGTCCAACACAGCTGGCTGTGATTGGTCACCAAGTAAAAACAATTCACACGAGACCAAAGATGCACCTGTTGGTAAGCAACCTCCAGACCACATTCCACAGCAGCAGATAGTTATTGTTTACATTTCTTTTCTGAGGCATCTCATATTCTCAGGAGAAAAATCTTGTCGAGGGGATTTTTTATAAAAATATCACAGTGACAGCTCACCCTTTTTATACAATTAAACTTTTACGAAAGTTTGTGTTTGTAATGCTTCTGCTTGGCCCTTGCAGAAGAGAGAGCAAACACATCTCGAGAGGTTTATCTGTTGCCAATCAAAACCTCAATCAAGTGCTGATGTGGAATGATCAAGGAGATTCTTCACCTGTAGAACGTCAAATCCCATCATATCACTAAAACAAAGCTTACAATATGAGGAAATGCAAAAAACCCATGCAAAAAATGTTCATTGCTTGCACTTCTTTTCTGAGGCTTCTCAGCTCCTCAGGAGAACAATCCTGGCGAAGGGATTTTTCATAAACACATCACAGTGCCGCTGTCCCTACACTTCTTTTCTGAGGCTACTCAGCTCCTCAGGAGAACAATCCCGGCGAAGGGATTTTTCATAAACACATCACAGTGCCGCTGTCCCTGTCACACAGAGCTCGGGACGGGGCTGAGGTCCCCCCAGCCTCAATTCCCACCCTCACACCCCCAAACCGGGGGCTCTGCCACCCCCGGGTGGCCTGTCCTGCTGACGCCGTGTCCCCGTGTCCCCAGGCTCGCCGCTCCCGGCCGCTCCGCGGGCTCTGCTATGATCTGGCGGCGCCGGGAGCAGCATGGGCAGCGTCAGCAGCCTCATCTCCGGCCACAGCTTCCACAGCAAGCACTGCCGCGCCTCGCAGTACAAGCTCCGCAAGTCCTCGCACCTGAAAAAGCTCAACCGCTACTCGGACGGGCTGCTCCGCTTCGGCTTCTCGCAGGACTCCGGCCACAAGTCCGGCTCCAAGAGCAGCAAGAATGAGGATTTCTTTTACATCAAGGTCAGCCAGAAGGCGCACGGCTCGCAGCGGCCGGACTACACCGCCCTGGGCGGCGGGGAGCTGGCTGTGCCCGCCGGGACCAGCGGGCTGGACTTCGGGACGCCCACGCCGCAGAAGCTGATGCCCTTCCCCAGCCAGCTGGAAGTGGTGAGTGGGGAAAAGCGGCCCGGGAAGCGGGGGGGATGTCCCACTGTCCCCGAAGTGTCTGCAGGTGCCACCACGGGGTTGTGTTGGTTGAGCCTGAGGAAGCTCAGGGAGAGCAGGGGCAGCTGGGGGCACTCTGCCACCTCTGCTTTTGGGAGTTCGGATCGGCAGCAGGAGCCGATTTGGGTCCTTTCATTTCCAAACCCAGCAGTTTTAGCCAGCAGCTTCCCCCGAGCCCCGGGGAGACTGTCCCACTGCGGGGGTGCCATCCCGGGGGGCAGAAGGGGCGGGAGGACACTCGCTCGGTGCTGACGCGCTCTGCTCTCCCCGGCAGGGTGGGGACAAGCCGCTGCCTCGTCCCACGGCCTTCAAGCCGGTGCTGCCGCGCTCCGGGGCCATCCTGCACTCGTCCCCCGAGAGTGGGGGGCCCCTGGGCCAGCAGCTGCACCCCCCGGAGAAGGGCAAGGAGCAGGAGCTGCGGCCGCTGCCGTGCTCGGGGGGCCTGTCCGACTCCGGCCGCAACTCCATGTCCAGCCTGCCCACGCACAGCACCAGCAGCAGCTACCAGCTGGAGCCCCTGGTCACCCCCATGGGCCCCATCAGCCGCTTCGGGGGCTCTGCCCACAACATCCTGCAGTGTGCCATCATCCAGGACAGCAACATGATGAGCCTCAAGGCCATGTCCTTCTCCGACGGCGGCAACAAGATCCTGAACCCCGGCAAGGCCCCCCAGCACCGCGCCGCCGCCGAGAAGAGCGTCTGCGTGCGCTCGCCCATCGCCACGGATGAATCCACCATCCAGGAGCTGGAGCAGAAGCTGCTGGAGAGGGAGGGCGAGCTGCAGGAGCTGCAGTCGAGCTTCGAGGAGAAGGAAATCAGCTCCTGCCAGGCCTACGAGGAGAAGCAGCGGCGCTGCAAGGAGGAGCTGGAGGGGCTGAAGCAGAAATGCAACAGCAAACTCAAGCAAACCTCGCAGAAAACGCAGCGGACGCAGCAGGTGCTGCACCTGCAGGTGTTCCAGCTGCAGCAGGAGAAGCAGCAGCTGCGGGAGGAGCTGGAGAAACTCATGAAGGAGCAGAACCTGCTGGAGACCAAGCTGAGGTCCTACGAGAAGGAGAAGACCAGCTTTGCCCCGGCGCTGGAGGAGACGCAGTGGGAGGTGAGGCAAAAGGGGGAACAAGGAGCAAGGGGGACGGGGAGGGGGAGAGCTCCAAACCCCCCAGCCCTTCCCATCCCGTCCCAGGCTGTAGGAAATGGATGTGAAATCCCAGCAGAGTCCCGGGCTGTTCCCAGGGCAGTGGGATTGAGGCTCTCACTGCCCTCCTGAACCCTTCCCCTCACCAAGGGAACAAGCACAGCACAAACCCCTCAGGCATTAAAATAACTCAGCATTCCTGGCCTCCAGCTCGGGTTTTTCTGCCCCACAGGAGCTGTAAAGCTGCCTTCCCTTAAGGAAATGGGAATTCCATGGGCTTGCCACGGCCATTTGTTAGTGAGCAGTAAAACCTTCCACTCTCTGCTTAAGGTTAATTTACTCACTCCTTGGTACTGCTGAGCAAACACTGTTAATCTGGAAATTCCAACGGGTATATTAATTACAAATTAATATAAAAATAAATAATAATATGTAATATTATTTAATATAATATTAATTATAAATAATAATTGCAATTAAATTATAATTCTAAAAAATAGTGGTAAAAAAGTTAAATTCAGGGTCCATAATTCTAAGAAATAATGGTAAGGAAGTTAAATTCAGGGTCTCCATGTGCTGCACCCCAGCTGTGCCCCGGCCCTTCCCCGCAGTCCAGCCCTAACTCAGGTGTTCACCCCCCCAGGTGTGCCAGAAATCCGGGGAGATCTCGCTGCTGAAGCAGCAGCTGAAGGAGTCGCAGACCGAGCTCACCACCAAGACCACGGAGATCCTGAGCCTGAAGGCGCAGCTGAAGGAGGTGAGGCTGAAGATGGAGGGGCTGGAGATGAAGAGCCAGGAGCTGGAGGTGTCGCTGCGCACCAAGGCCATGGAGCTGGAGGTGTGCGAGAACGAGCTGCAGCGCAAGAAGAACGAGTCGGAGCTGCTGCGGGAGAAGGTGAACCTGCTGGAGCAGGAGATCCTGGAGCTGCGCTCCGAGCTGGCCGCGCTCCGCGAGCAGCTCAGCGAGGCCCGCGAGGGGCCCCGGCCGGGCGGGGACGATGCCCAGGCCCTGCAGGGGCAGCTGGAGAGGCTGCGGGCCGAGCTGAAGGCGGAACGCGACAACAACGAGCAGATGAGCTGCAGCTTCCAGCACGAGCGGCAGACGTGGAAGGAGGAGAAGGAGAAGGTGATCCACTACCAGAAGCAGCTGCAGCAGAGCTACCTGCACATGTACAAGAGGAACCAGAGCCTGGAGAAGATGCTGCAGCAGCTGGCGGCGGGCGAGGACGGCAAGGAGCCCATCGAGCTGGAGATCCCCGGCGCCGACGTCCCCTACGAGGACATCATCGCCACCGAGATCTGAGCCGCTGTCCCCTCCCGAGCCGCTCGGCCCCGCCCCGCGGCCGAGCTGAGCCGTGTCCCCCCCGTCCCTCCGTCGTGTTCCAGAGGTGACCAAGCCACTCGTGCCAATGGTGACGTGCCCGCAGCTCCCCCGCCCCGGCACCGCCCCGGCACCGCCCCCTCTGCCCCCGGGCAGGGATCAGGACTCCAGGGAATTCTCTGCCATCCGTGCCCAGCGCCCAGGGGATGCTCTGCTCCAGGCTTGGGGAACCCGGCTTGGCCCCGCTCCGGGGGTGGCACAGCTCCAGGGATGGCACAGATCCGAGGATGGCACAGCTCCGAGGATGCCACAGCACAGTCCTGCCCGCTGATGGTGGCAGGAATCAGCCCCAGTGTGTGCCCAGCTCCAGGGATGGCACAGCACAGTCCTGCCCACCGATGGTGGCAGGAATCAGCCCCAGTTTCCTGGAGGAAGCTGCCACTCCTCCTCACCCTCCGTCAGTGCCAATCCCAGGGCGCTGAGCCACCTCCTGCCACTGCCACATCCCGCCCTACCAGCCCTGAGGGCCTCAGGAAGGTCCCCACCTGCTCACACCCCCCTGGTACAGCCCCACTCCATGAAATCACCCCGAAATCACCCTGAAATCACCCTGAAATCCCCATTCAGCCCAAGCACAGCCCCTGCACCCAACCACAGCCCTCCCCTGCCCGGCATTCCCAGCTCCCACGGACAAGGACTCTGTCCCTTCTCCCGGCTGCCAGTCAGCAGCTGCATCCAAGGATTCACAGGAATGTCCCAGCCACGGCCTGACCAAGGAATGGGGTTTGTGTTCACCCCTGCACTCACCAGGGCTGTCCCTCCTGGGAGCCCTGGCTGCCTTATCTCCTCCCGTGCCCTGATCCCGTGGGATCCGGCCAAGGGGAGCTGGTTAAACACCCCAAACCAACCACTTCCACCTTAATTTCTACCCCAGCTCTTAAAAGTTCCTCCTGCCACCAGCGAGTGGCTCCACAGATAATGAGGTGGTGCTGCTGGTGACCCTCGTGTCCCCCTGACTGGGGAGGGAACCAGCAGGACCCAGTTTGTGGGCTGGGGGCTCCAGGGGACCCCTCTGTGCCAGTGCAATGATATTTTTGCTGCAATTATTTACCCACTGCCCCATCCCAGGGCTCTTGGGCGGGGTTCTTGCACAATCCCAACGTCGCCAATTTGGCCACGGGCTCCGAGCTGTGCAAAATTCCGCGTCCCTCGTGCCACTCCAGCCTGGAAAGGTGACACACAGGAACCAACCAGTCTGTGCCTTCTGCGCCCGGCCCTGAGCACACCAAACCACTGCCCCAGCTCTCCTGGCTGGGTCTGGCACTGCCCAGCCACTCCTGGCACTGCCCAGCCACTCCTGACACTGCCCAGTCAGTCCTGGCACTGCCCAGCTGGGTCTGGCACTGCCCAGCCACTCCTGGCACTGCCCATCCAGTCTTGGCACTGCCCGGCTGGGTCTGGCACTGTCCAGCTGGTCCTGGCACTGCCCATCCAGTCCTGGTACTGCCCAGCTGGGTCTGGCACTGCCCAGCTGGTCCTGACACTGCCCAGCCATACCTGGCACTGCTCAGCCACTCCTGGTACTTCTCAGCCTGTCCTGGCACTGCCTAGTCAGGTCTGGCACTGCCCAGCTGGTCCTGACACTGCCCAGCCACTCCTGGTACTTCCCAACCTGTCCTGGCATTGCCTAGTCAGGTCTGGCACTGCCTGGCCACGCCTGGCACTGCCCAGGTGGTCCTGACTCTGCCCAGCCTGGCTTGGTACTGCCCAGTCTGTCCTGGCACTGCCCAGCCGGGTCTGGCACTGCCCAGCCCATCCTGGCACCGGCACAAGCGATGCTCACCCCCGGCACGCTGGAAAAGCCAACCTCAGGCTCCTGCGGGTGCCCCCGGGGCCAGCCCCTGCCCAGCCCTGCCCAGTCCCAGCCCTGCCCAGCCCTGCCCAGCCCCAACCCAGTCCCTTCCCTTCCCTGCCCAGTCCCAGCCCTGCCCAGCCCTGCCCAGTCCCTTCCCAACCCTGCCCAGCCGAAAGATGTTTGGAAAGCTGAAGGATCGGGGATGGCGAGGCCGGGGGGGGCGGATTTTGTGCACCCCCCCGAGGCCGGGGGGGGATTTTGTGCATCCCCCAAAGCCGGCACAGCCCCGCCCGGCGCTCTGTGCCCGGAGCCGAGGGAGCAGAGCCCGTCCCGACCTCGCCCCACCGCGGCAATTCCCCGCTCCTGCTCCCGGTGGCACTGTCCCTGTCCCTGTCCCTGTCCCCAGGCGTGTCCCCAGCTCTGTGATGTGATCTCCAGAGGCCTCGCCGTGCTGCCTTTGCACAACCGCGCTGTGTGTGCCCGTCGCATTCCAGGTGTGTCGCTCCAGGTCCCGGCCTGGACAGAGAATTATTTTTCTGCAGGTTTTCTTTTTATTTTGTTTGGTTTTGTTTGTTATTTTTTTGGATGTTCTTTCTGGTGACTGATGTAAACTACTGGTTAATTTTATGGTTTTATTTATAAATAAATTTTTTAAAACTTCCCCAGCCTCTCTCTGAGGGCGTTCAGTGGCGTTCTGGGGATTTTCCATGCCTGAGCCACCAGAATTTATCACAGCCCACCAGGGTCCCCTCTGGGGACATCCTTGCACCTGCCCTGCTTTTTCCAGCCTGGAGTTATCTCCGCTCTGCAGCTGGGATAACCCGAGCACGGAGAAGCAGGGATTGGGCTCGGGTGGATCAGGGAGGGTGGGATAATCCACCCGGCCCCCTCCCAGCCTGAGCCCCCCGACCCTGCAGGTGGGCTTGGATCTCACCCCGAGCCCACCCCCAGCATTCCCTGAGCAGGCAGGGCCCGACCCTCAGGAGATCCAGGGAAAACAATTCCCGAGGGAGAGGTTCCCGTGGCTGCTGGAACAAACCCGAGCTCGTATTTTGACTATTTCAGCTGTTTTGCTCCAAACCAAATCAACTCCACGAAAAAACAGCGTGGGGGGAGGTGAAGGGCGAGGTTTGGGGAGCAGAAAATGGGGAAAACTCTCCAATTTCAGGAAACTCTGCTCATTCTGCCTCATCTGGCTGCACCCACGGGGCAGGGGGTGGATCTGGGCACCCCAAAAAGGCACCTGGCACCTGCTGCTGCTTTCCAGGGAAATTTGGCTGTGCTCCTGCTACCCCAGGAGCGAGGGATATTGATTTTTAGGGTTTATTTACTTTTAGTTTATTTTGGAACTGCTGGGGAGGGAAGGGACAGAAAATCCTGTGAGGGCTCTGTACCCTGGGGGTCCCTCCTGTCACAGCCACCCCAGGCCTTCCTTCCCAGGAATCCGGGCAAGGCAGCAGCAAGGAGAGCCCTGGGCTCTCAGTTCTGCCCGGGAGAACTCCCAGGGGACATCTCTGTCCCTCAGAGGTCACAGCCCAGCTCAGCAGCACCAGGAGGAGCCAGGGCAGGGCCAGGAGGGACAGCAGCATCCCTGAGGGCACAAACACCCCAGGGAATTCTTAGGAGCACCCAGGGAAGCCAAAACCTCATCCCTGGAGACCCAAAATCCCAGCCCTGAGGGCCCTGGGCTGCTTCTCCCGAAAAGCAGGTGACGATCCTGCCCCTTTTGCAGCAAATCCCTCCTGAAACTGCGGCTGAGCTGTGCCAGCCTTGGCACAAACCTGGCAGGGGAGAGCACCAGGGTGTGAGATAATCCTGTCCTGGGAGAACACCAGGATGTGAACTGCTCCTGGGAGAGCACCAGGATGTGAACTGCTCCTGGGAGAGCACCAGGATGTGAACTGCTCCTGGGAGAGCACCAGGATGTGAACTGCTCCTGTCCTGGGAGAGCCCCAGCACAGATGGGACTCTGCTCCTGCAGGAGACAGAGCAGGAAGGAGCAGCAAGGCCGGATAATCCCAGGAGAAAATCATTCTCTGGAGCCAGAGCTCCCTTGGGGGCAGGCTCAGCACGAGCCAGGCAGGTTTTTGGGGGGCAAACGGGAGAACGAGCCCAGCCGGAGCATGGCCCGGGCCGGGGGTCCCTGCTCTGCTCCAGCCCTGCTCCAGCTGCCGCGGGAGCAGCAGTTGCGCTAATGAGCGTAATGAGCGCATGCAAATAAGCCCGGAGCGGAGAAAAGCCGATTTGCATCTCCTTAAAACGCGCCGGTGGCACCGCACGCGTGTCTGGCTGTGTGCGGGGCAGAGCCAGCCCCAAACCCGAACCCGAACCCGAACCCAAACCCAAACCCAACCCCAACCCCTCCTCCGCGGCGCTGCCTGGGACGGGGAATTGCTCGGAGCCACCCCGCGCTCGCAGGGCCGGGTTTGGGGAGCCAAAAGCCGCTTTTGATGTGCAAATGAGCCCCGGCCGCTCTGCCCACCAGCCTGGTGCCGGCCCTGCCTCGCATCTGCCACCGGCCCGCGGCCCCCGGGGCAGGAGGGACCCGCCCGGGCTGTCCCCTCCCCTCCCCAGCGAGGGGACAGCTGGCGTGTGCCCGCGGCAGGGACCGGCTGCCATCCCTCGGCTGAGCCCCCGGGCGGTGCTCGTTACTCATTATGGGATCAAAAATCTGAATTAAAAAAGCAGGCGGCCTGGAAAGGCGCGGCAGCGGCAGCTGGGAGAGCAGCACGGCCCTTTGAGCCGGTACCTGCTGTCCCCTGTCCCCAGCCGCGACAGAGCCGTGCCAGGAGCTGTCACAGCACGGCCACGGACAGACGGACAGCCACAGAGCCTTTGTTCATCCCACAGCACTGAGCAGCTCGGGGGAAACGCTGTGCTGAGCCCCAGGGGCTCCGGAGAGCAGAACCAAAGCTGGGTTTGGGCCGTTGATGCCTGGGTTTGCCATTCCTGGGTTTGGTTTGGGCATTCCTGGGTTTGCCATTCCTGGGTTTGTTCATTTCCACGTTTTCCGTTCCTAGGTTTGATTCGTTCATTCCTGGTTTGGTCAGTCCTGGGTTTGACTTAGTCATTCCTGGGCTTGCTATTCCTGGGTTTATTTGTTCATTCCTGGGCTTGCTGTTCCTGGGTTTATTTGTTCATTCCTGGGCTTGCTATTCCTAGGTTTAGTTTGTTCATTCCTGGGCTTATTTGTTCATTCCTGGGTTTATTTGTTCATTCCTGGGTTTATTTGGTCATTCCTGGGTTTGATTTGGTCATTCCCAGCTTTGCTCATTCCCACATTTGCCATTCCTGGGTTTGGTTTGTTCATTTCCAGCTTTGACTTCGTCATTCATGGTTTGGTCATCCCTGCTTCTGTTCATTCCCAGGTTTGCCTAGGCCATTCCTGGTTTGCCCATTCCTGCTTTTCCAGGGCCCTGTGCAGGCTCAGGCTGTCCCCAGCTGGGACAGGGGTCACTGACCGACCCCCACCCCACTGCTGATCATACCCAAAATCCCAGCCAGAGTGGGGCCTAAAGCTCCTTTTCCAGGAGTTTAAGGTTTCCAAGCCTCCCCCAGAAACAGAGGGAGGGAGGTGAGGACACAGGGATCACATTCCCTGCACATTCCTGCAAAGCCTTTCCCTGTGACTGAGGCTGAAGGTCAGACCCTCCTCCTCCTCAGCCACCAGCTCCAGGGACACTGTGGGGGAAGGCTCCAGTGACCCTTAATCCACACTGAAGCTGCTCCATTCCCATTCCCAGGGACAGGAACACTGCTGAACAGCCCGAGTGAATTTTCAGTCCCAGAACCACCAAAGCTCCCGTTTGTTCAACACCTTCCATATTTAATTTATTTAGAGATTTTCTACATTAAAGTGTTTTCATGCCAACGCTTCTGCCCTCCCATCCTGACCTTGGGAAAAAGAGACTGGACACAGCTTTGGGTGGAATGCACTGGAATAAAATCGCTGCTGCAGCCACAGAGAACACGGAACAAACCAGAGAACTGCACATGGAGACGTCAGGGAAAGCTGGAATTAGCACATTCCAGTCATGTTAGCACCTTCCCAGACGTGCAGGGAGGTGTAACACGCCCTGCTGAGCCAGCCCAGAGCTCAGACTACAGGAAAGCCTGGAAAAAGCATGGAATTGTGCCAGCAGCAGCAGCAGTGGGCCCAGAGCCTCGGCTGAACCCGCTGGAAAAGGAACAACACGGAATTGCCCAGCCAGGATTGCAGAGTTTGGGAATGCTGAGCTCAGGGCTGAGGCAAATCTGTGCCTGGAGTGCAAACCACAACAGCTCCAGCCACAGCATGGGCCCAGCACACCAGGAGCAGGTTGGAAATATCCTCTCTCACATTGAAAGCTGCCTCTTTATTAGCAACTCCTGTTGCCTTGTGTGAACAGACCACGGTTTAAAAGCTGAGCTCACACCAGCAGCAGACCTAGGCCAGGTTTTAGGTTGGTTTTCACCTCTCAGGATCCCCCTCAGCAGCAGCACAAAGCCTTGAACCACCAACAGCTGTGGTGACACTCCTGAGCCCAGACTGAGCTGCTGGTTCTGTCTGGCATCTCCAGAATCCAACCAAAAAAGGGGGAAGAAGGAAGTTTACTCTGCAAACTTTCATTTAAAACCTGCAATTCAGTAATTGAGCTTTATCCTCCTACTTTCAGGTAGCACCTCACTGGCCTTTGTCCTCTGAAAGGACAAGGACTTTTCCACCTTTGCTGGTGGGGAAGCCCTCAGTGTCACCTCCACATCCTCAGGTCACACAAACCCTCCAGAATGTGCAGCCCTGGTTAAAAACCCGCATTTTTCACCAAGGAATGTTGTCCTGCAAGTCACATATCCTCTCTCGTGTTTTCTAACCCATAGTTTCAAAGTGAAGGTTTGCAATTTCTGGCAATGCTCAGCCTTGAGAACCCACAAAAGGCTCATTTCAAAGCCCAAGCCTCGTGGTGGCTATTGCACATTTTCAGAGCATCCTCCTGGAGATGCAGGCTGTGGGAGAAGGGATATTTTTCCAAACTGCTCTCAGTGGGAACACTGCCACAAGTGTCACCTGCTGCTGGGTGGAGCTGGGAAGGTGACAGGG